AGAAAGCTGAGCTTGAGAATGCTCTCTATAGATATATGTAATTACTTTAATTAATGTACCTGTGATAGATCTGATCCTAAACACAATAATACCTTTTTATCCTTCAATATGACTCCTATGCATTCAAGGTACATATAAGCCAGTTTTCAAGATAAAGCTTACTCACATAAAAAGGTAAGTAAACACACAAGATTACAAGGTAGTATATAATTAAGTGCTTAGTGAGTACAAGGCAATAAATACCAGATAAGCTTAGAGGAAGGACAGATCAATCTGTTTCTGTCAGGATAGGCTAGTATCAGAGGGGAGGTAGTAGGATTTGAAATAGGCAGAATTTGAAGAGGTAGGGAGTTATAGTGTATTTCAAATGCAAGAAGGAACTAAGTAATCGAAGACGTAGAATTTGGAAAGCAAATGACATACTTGGCTTGGGGTACCATGACTAGACTTGTTTGTTGAGAGCAGCAGATTCAAGGAAAAGAGCTAAGGCTCAAAAGATAGGTTGGGGCTACAATGTTCAGAGCTTTAAATTCCAGGAGAAGGAATTTGGACTTTATCCTAAAATCCTAGGGTAACAGGTTTTTGAAAAGGAGATTGATACAACAAAAATGCTATTCTAATAAGATTAATATGATCTATAGAAAGACATGGAGAAAAATTGCATAGGATAAAAGGTAGTACTCATGAAAATGAGATAAAAGATATCTGACTGCCAAGAAAAGATAGACTGGAGAAGGCAGAGACTAGAGGCCAAGGAACAAGTTAGGAGTCTCAGTATATGGCTCATCAAATCTGTAGATGACACAAAGCTGGGAGGGATAGCTAACATTTCTATGGATGACAGGATCCCTAAGGATCTTGACAGGCTAAGCATTGGGGTGAATCTAGTAAGGTGAAATTTAATAAAGTGTCAAATCTTGCAGTTGGGTACAAAAAAATCATTTCACATGTAAAAGATGAAGGTATAGTTAGACAACACTTATTCAGAAAAGGATTTGAGGGTTTTGGTAGACTTCAAATTCATTGAGTCATCAGATGATAAGACAGCCAAAAAAGCTAAAGTGATCTTGGGCCACATTAAGAGGGGCATAGCTTCCAGGAATGGGGAAGTGATAGTCCCATTGCCCTCATCAGACCTTATCTAGAGTTTTTGTGTTTAGTTTTGGATGCCATGGTTTACTATGAACATTGTTAAACAGGAGAATTTCCAGAGGAAGGGAACGAGGGCTTTAGAGTCTGTGCCTTTTAGTTGAAGATGCTGGGGATGTTTAGCCTAATGAGAAGATTCAGCTGTCTCCAAATATTTGAGGGTAAGTCATGTGGAAGAAGATTTGACTGGTTCTGTTTGACCCCAGAGGGAAGAATCAAGAGCAATGGGTAGAACATACCAGGATTCAAAGTCAGGTTTAATGTTAGAAAAAGCTTCCTAATAATTAGAGCTATGTAAAAGCAGACTGTGCTGTCCCATGACCATCTGTCAGGTATCCTATAATGAGGATTCCCTTTGTTTACAGAATGGACTAGCTGTCCACTTGAGATCCCCATGAACCATCAAATTATCTTATTCTGTGATCTAGATCCCAAGAATTAAGATATATAATTATTTATAGATAAGGGAGTTCTTGCACCAAAGAAATCACACAGTAATATATTGACTGTGACTTATCATCCTTGTCCTATTGAAGGTCTTAACTTTTTGGGGGGAGTGTAATGGATTCATTTTGCAGTCCAGCGAAGCCTATGAAATATTTCTTTTAAAATGTTCTTAAATGCATAAAATAAAATACATAGTTATCAAATACAGAAATACAGTTATCAAAATTTTTTTTTTAAGTTCAGGCCCCAGGTTAAGAACTGTTATCCCACAAAGTGATTGACCACACTGTTGATCATATAATCTAGAATATGGGGTGGAGACAAGCGGCACAACAGAGCTTCCTAACAAAGATCAAGACTTACATCCTGGGCAGCTAGGTAGCACAGTGGATAGAGATTTGGTCTTGGGAGTCAGGAGGACCTGCATTCAAAATCCAGCCTCAGACATTTCATACTTACTAGCTGTGTGACCCTGGGCAAGTCACTTAACCCCAATTGCCTCACCAAAAAACAAAACCCACTCTCTTTGGGATTTGCTATTTCCTCAAGTTGAAGTTGCTGTTTTTGGCCCCAAGTCCACTCCTAGAAGATAGACAATATGGCTTCATGGAAAGAACAGATTTCTAATCCATCCACCCAGCTGCCAAAGTACTATTTCTAAAGCACAGGTCTAATATCACATATCCAGTGGCTCCCTAATACTGCTGAGATCTAACACAAACTCCTCTGCTTGGCATTTAAACTCCTGCATCATCTAGCTCAATTATCTTCCCAGGCTGCTTATATATCACTCCCTATTACATAGTCTACTGTCCAACCAAATTGGACTTCATGCTATCATACATTCCATTTCCAACCTCCAAGTCTTCCCTTCATGCCTGGACTGTTTTTCCTCATCTCAGCCTCCTAAATTCCTTAGCTTCCTTCAAAGGTCAGGTCAAGCACCACCTCTAATGCTTTCTCCCCAACCCTAAATTACCTTGTATCCACTGAGAAAGGAATGTGTAATCCTCATATTAATCAATATGATATGTGGAATGAATATACTAATAATTTAGTTTTCTCAAGAGCTGCCTCTCCGGCTCAGGAGTCAGAGCTCACAATGCAGCTTAAGTTGATTAATCAAAACTCTGACAACACTCACAATCACTGGACCTTAAGTGAAGCGAATCAAAGATTGTAGAACCTGTTCCCATCACAGAACTTTGATTCTGTACCTTAGGGGAGATTTCAGAATTGTTGTATGGTGGGACTTATGGGTTTCTCCTGGGAAATCACTAAATGATTGTTTGTAACTCACTTTCTCCCCTTCTTCCCTGGTTGTGATTTAAGTATATAACCCTTGCTTTTACTTCAGCTAAGAGAACATTCCTCACTCTGAAGTTGATTAACTACTTGATTACTGGCAATCCCTCTCTAGGCCTACTCTGTGGGGCTCCGTGCATTCTCAGGTTAGAGACTGGCTCAGTAAAAATCCTGTTAACACCACTTACCTGTGCACATATCATCCTCCAAATAAAATATAAATTGATGAGGGGAGTTGTTTAATTTTTTTTAAATATTTTAATTTTTAAAATAATTGTCATTGTACCTCCAGCTCTCAGAACTAACCCTGGCACATATTTAATATCTTCTAATTTATCAAAGCAGTGACCACAATACTCCAGACATGTTCTAACTAAAGCACAGTACTTTGAGTCATCATTTCATTTCTGGAGGTTATAATTTTTTTCAGGTGTGTGTATATATATATACATATAGATATATTTTTAAACTATTTGAGGAACTTTGAACATATGCCTTACACAGCACTAGTCAACAAAACGGAAAGTAAAAGATAATGTTCTAAGTACTCAACAAAATATTACCTTTTCATCCTTATTTTATAGGATGAGATCACTATATTTTGTTGTAGTGTTATCTTTTTTTATACTTCTGGTATCTTTTATTTTTATGTTCTTTAGATGTCCCTCTATTTCCCTCTCCTCCACCCTCTGAGAGCTATCTCTGATAACATAGAATTTTTTATGGAAAAAAAAATTCAGCAAAGCATACATTGGGAAAAATCTGATGTCAAATGCAATTTTCCACATCCGTGTACTATGTCCCTCTTTCTCTGCAAAGAAGAGTGTTTTCATATCTCTTTTTTTTGGCAGAGCTAAGATCGTTCTTTATAATTTCAGAATATTCTTTTTATTATTGCGTAATTTATCTATTTACATTGTTGTAGTCATTATGTATTTTCACATAAGAACTTCCATGTTTCTCCACATTCACATTTGTTGTTTTCTAGAGCAGGATAATATTCCATGACATTCATGTATCACACACTCAACATTGTGATACACGAATATCACGGAATATTGTCCTGCTCTACGAAACAACAAATAAGTGAAAAGATTTCCCGTTAATCATGCCTCACTCATACTGTACTTGTGAAGCTATTGAGGTTTTTTTAAAATTTAAAGTAAACTACTATATTTTTCCCTTTTCAGTTGCATCTTAAGTTCTGCCCAAATGCTCCAGCCCTTCAAGACTTTTTGGATCTTGTCATTCAATGTGTTAGCTATCCTTTCCACCTCTGTGTCATCGGCAAATTTGATAAACACGCATCTATGGTTTTAAACATCAAATGGGTCATCGAGTCAGTCAATGGCATTTACTGAACACTTACAATGTGATGGCCATTGTGCAAAGATTGGGAGATAACAAAGAAGGCAAAATGCTGTCTCTCCTCTCAAGCAGCTGTTTAATGGTAGCAACGATATGCAAACAACTATGTCCTACCAAATTTACATGCAGGATAAATTGGGAGTAAAGTCAGAGGTATGGCACTAAGCTTATGGAACAAAACATTAGGAAGGGCTTCTTGTAGAAGGTGGACTTCATCTGCTACCTGAAGAAAGCCAGGGAAGCCAGGAGTACATGAGAGATAGCCTATGAAACCTCTCCAGCTGGAAGATTTCTTGCACTAAGGACACCAAGGAGGTAGTTCGAGTGGATCAAAGCCTACGTGGCAGGATCTAAGGTGTAGGAAGACTGGAAAGGTAGGAAGGGGCTTAGTTATGAAGGGCTTTGAAAGCCAAGTATTTGATCCTGGAGGTGATAGGGAGCCATTGGAGCTTATTTAATAGGGGGTGTCATGGGCAGACCTGAGTTTTAGAAAAATTACTTTCACAACTCAGTGAAATATGGATTGGAGTGGCAACGACTACCCCTTCTCATCACAAGACTGATGAAGGTAGAAAGAACAGAACTTGGCAACTGATCGGATCGGAGGTGTAAGAGAGAGGAAAGGGTCAGGGATGACGCCTAGCTTGCAAGCCTGGGTAAATGGGAGGATGACGGCAACCTCAATAGTAACAGGTAAATCAAGAGGAGGAAGAGTTTGAAAGGAAAGATACCTGAAGCGCTCCACTATTCTTCCTTCCTAGATGACACTGACTCTTTCTGTACGCCTGAATTTTCTTACACCACGGGGACGAGTTCTTTCTAAATCCCTGCTGATTTAGAGCCAAGATTGCTGCTCTATAGGCAGCGGGGATACTACATACAGGTGGAGCTGCAGCTTGCACTAGCATGCTCCACACTACCAACATCTTAAGGGACTTTAGTCCCAGACACTAAGGACTGCGCCTGAATAAAGCAGCCGCCACTAGGACCACGCAGGCTTGGGCCCGGCAGCATCCAGCAAACGAACGGGCAAAGAGGTTGTAAAGACTTGCCCACCTGGTGGAGTTATTGCGCATGCGCACCCCCTCCAGCCCTGTGGACCCTCCTACTGCGGTTTGCCGGCGTCTCAGAAGGGACTGGGGAGGTGTTCTAGACGTTCTAACGTCAGGAGCAAATTCTGCGGAGTATTCTGGGGAGAGTACGGTGGCTGTCGGAGGACAAAACTGCTCCGCTATGCATTCTAAGCCAGGTGCATCGTTTCGGGGTTTTCTTTCTTCTTGGTCTGGGTGTTAACAGCCATAAAACGGTCGCCTTAAATGAGACTACCATCCCATTTAAGTGGCCGACCGTAAAGTCAGCCGCTGCTCCCCAGCTTACCCACAGTTATCTCTTAGTCCTGCCCAGACCTTTACCCCGCCCCCCTAACTAACGGCCTAGGTCTGCCATGCTGCTCCGGGAGCTCAGGCGGCTCTTCCACGGTTCTTTCAGCTACGCCAGGCCGGGATGCAGGGAAGCTAGTAAAGATGGGAAAATGTGGCTGGGAAGGGGGAGCCCCCGGGACAGCAATTCCCTAGGGTGCGGCAGCTGCGACCGATCTGCCTCTCTGATATGGGTTAGAATCCGCCAGGCCTTCCTCAGAGCTTCCCGCAGATGCTTGCTGGGAAGGCCCAAGGCGCTCCCGTAGGCCCGTCCCGGTTCTGCTTCACCTGAGGGCCTTTTACACGGGGCACAGCTTCGGCCACATGGAGAGAGCGGGATTCAATGACTGGGGTCGCAAGTTGCCCGGCTAAAGAGCGCAGGGGCGCATCCATCCGCTCGCTCTAAGGGGGGGGAAGGAATGACCTGAAATTCGGAATGGGAGCCCAACAAAAAGAGTTTCCCACGTAGGACCAGCCCATTGGGGATGAAGAAAGGCCTTAAATCAAGGTTATGCGCAAGCCGCTCTGGGGCACCGCGCTCCTCTTAAACCAAACATTTTAAATCTCGTCTCCCCCTTCAGCTTGCCCGGATGGGCTCGTCCGGCTAGGGAGCCGGAGGCTTTCGGGGAAATTTGAATCTAGTTGGCTACGGGACTGAGTGAGTGACTTGCAGCCCCGCGCGTCCCTTCTGTTCTCTCTCCGCAGTCATGCCCTGCTCCGAAGCGATCCCCGCCGCCGCCTCCCCCAGCAAGCGGGCCCGGCCTGCGGAGCCCGAGGGCCCCGTGCGCCTCCGCTTCGCCCGCCTCTCGGAGCACGCCACGGCCCCCTCCAAGGGGTCGGCTCGGGCTGCCGGCTATGACCTGTACAGGTAGGTAGGTAGATAGGTGGGTGTGACAGAGTGAGGGGGGCGCCCGTCCGCTCACCCCATCGCGGGCGCGAGACTAGAACCCAGGAAAGGACCTCTCAGCCAGCTAGACCCACTCTCATTTAGCAAATGAGGAAACTAAGGCTCGGAGTGGGGGAGGCCACTTGTCACAAAGCCACTCGGGGGTCGTGGGTAGCAGAGGCTTCATTCGAACCCAAGTCCTCGGACTCCATCCTTATTCCTCCTTATACTCACCCCCAATCCCCACATGGCGAGGCCCTCCCTGCCTCTCAACCCAGTTTCCTGTCATCAAATTTTCGCGCCAATTCTGGGCGCTCAATTGCCGGCTGGGGTTTCCCTGCCCGCTAGTTAGAGGCAGTGTCCCAAAAGTCTTAGTGCCGTTTTAAGCCATTAAAGCTTAAAATGTAATACTTAATAGCTTAAAATGATTAAGCTGTCAACGCTTGCAAGGGCAGTAAGACTTTTGGGACACCCCGGTATTATAGACTCACCGACTAGTAACGATAGTAATAATAATCATGGTAGCTAATATTTATATAGCACACATAATGTGAAGCGATTTACAATTATCCTGTTTGTTCCTCATAACAATCCTGTTATCCTTGTTTTACAAAATGAGGAAACTGAGACAAACCGCTTAAGTGACTTGCCTAGGGTCGCACAGAGGCAGAATTTAAACTGGTTTTCCCAACTCTCCATCCTGTCTCTTCGATGTCTCCGGAAAAAAATCATCTTAGTCTCCCCTGGCCTTCCCCCTTCCCATTTTATGGATAAGGAGAGGTGAGGCTACTTGCCCAGAGTCAAGCAACTTGAGGCTACGCCGTTGTTAAACCTAGTGGAAAGTCTGGTGTTTGTAAATATGAGGAGATTTAACAGGCTGGCTGAAAATATGACAACAATTAAAACTTTTTTTTATGAATTCTGCAGCTGTGTTACTTTAGGCAAGTCATCTAACCTCAAAGGGCCTGGGAAGTTTCCTGAGGGGATATATATACATATCACTGTTCCTCTTCCTAAGGAATATTAAGTTTTGTTAAGCTATTCTCTGAACTTCACCTTTTTTGCCATGCATTTAGGAAGCTATCTCCCATGTCCTGAGTGCACTCTTCATCCCTACCTATTTAGTCTTCTTAAAGGCTCATCTCAAGGTGCCACCTCCTTTACAAACCTTTCTATGTCCTTTTCAGTTAGCCCTTTAATTTTCTTAGAGCACTTTCTTACCATTATCACATTTTACCTCCTATTAGTCTTATTTGTGTACTTATATCTCCTCTGGTAGACATAAACTCTTTGAGGGCAGGCAGTATAATTTTTTTTTTCATTGTAGCCCATGCTGCCTTATACTGGCAGCACTTAATAAACATTTATTGAATTGAAGGGAAAAAGAGTGTCCAAAATACTAAGAGACAAGAGAGACGCACTCAAGATAATCCTAAGTACTCCTAAAATGACCTGTGGCAAAACCTTTTTTTTTTGTCAGAGGATGCTTAAACTCCATAAAATATCTCAGATAGATTCATTATAGTTAAACCCTGTCCAAGTAATCCTAACATTACAATTAATTGAAACTTTATTTAAAAAAAAAGGCAAAGGAAAGGCTAAAATTGGGGATCCAGAATTCAACCTTAGACCACCCATTAATGCTTTTATTTGGAAGATAGCTTAGCACAGTTCACACTACTTCCACCACTGTAGATCGAAATCCTCTTTACAACTTAATAGATGGTCTTTAAGAGTTGCCACCTGAAACTTTCATCATCTTGTAGCCAGATCTCCTGTTGAGCCTCTCTGAAATTAGCTACACTCACCCTCAGCACAGATGACCAAAACCATAGCCAAAACTTTTCCAGCTGTGAAGGATCTGCTGGAGTTTGACTTTAGTCCGTAAGACTAAAGGGTCATTTCTATGACACAGTGAGACATCAAAGTAGAACTTCAAGTGCAGGTTTTTAGTTGGCTTTAGTACAGGTAGAGGTATAGAATTGTAATCTTTGAGAAGCCTTATAGTGTTCTTCAGAAAAGAAAAGGGGAAAAACCTATGAATCTTGGAGCTCTTTGGGATGAACCATAGTGTAATCCCCTTTTAATAGCTGCGCTAAGAAAGCAGTGAAGTGATTTGCCTAAGATCACATAAGGTAGGCCACTGTAGCAATTTACCCATCCAGGGCCATTAAATACACAATAGTTTAACTAGTGAATACACTGTAATTTACTCCCTAGCTTACTATTAGGGTCAAGCTATTTACAAAACTTAGCATAACAAAGCATTAGCCCTTTTTCCTACTACTCTTGGTCTCTTCTTCTTTCTTGACTCATCACTTTTTCAGCCTATCCCCATCTTTCTTCCTTTTATTTTCATCTCAGTGAAATAAGGTGCCTTTCCAAGGCCTACCCCCTCTAATCTGTTCTCTTGACCTTCATACCTTTCCAGTATAGGGTATGTTGTAGAATTAAGTCATCTCAAACTATGTCAGCAAAAGGACTAGGAAACATTGTTATGAGATAGTTATACCTGCCCTTAGGCTTCATGGGAATTTTGTGTAGATAAATTGTAAAATTAGTGATTTGTACATTTATTTTGAAGAATAAATATAGAGATCTAAGTTGGTATAGGAACTATTGAGAAAATCCATTGTTCAGCTTAAACATTTCTAATAATCCAATACTTTGTTAATAGAAAATTTAAATTATAAAAATCTGTTTTATAATTTACTTTATTTTGTTTGGTAATTTCTATAGTGCCTATGATTATACAATACCAGCCATGGAGAAAGCCCTTGTGAAAACAGACATTCAGATTTCTCTCCCTCGTGGGTGTTATGGTAGAGTTGGTAAGTGATTAAGTGACTTGGTAGCTTACCTTACTTTGTGTTTGAAATAAACAGGAACTTATTCTTCATTTTCATTTTATCATATGATTATGCATTTTTGGAAAGTTGAGGGAAATTATTCAACATGATTTCTAATCAAGGATGGATTAGATAAAGGACAACAGATGCAACCCATTTGTAAGTTTCCATCTCCCTTTGCTTTTACTATGAAAGTATGGTGAGGCACTTTTGCCATTAATTGCTGGCATATTCCCGGGAAATGCCACAGTGGTTAAAGCTGGAAAAATTATATGCACTGTGCATATGTAGGGGGAGCAAAATTTCAGTGTTGCATTATATTCCCACCTCTTTGCTATATTCTACAGGTTAGGAAAGGTATACTGTTAACTAGACTAAATATCCAACTTCATTAACAGTTGGAATAATTGCAAATATTAGAATATTTTTGCAGTATATAGGAGAAGTCATGAAAAAGTCTTCTAAAAATCTTTTGATGTCATAGATGAACCTGATAATCTTAATGTCATCAAGTAAAGAGCTTTACCTAAGTGAATGCAGGAACACAACCTACACTGGCTGGCTATTGGTTCGTGAACCTAATTCAAGACATTAACTGGTTAATAAAACCCCAGATGATTCAGGGTTTTTGCTCTCCCTAGAATTCTCACTTTTAACAATTAAAATTCCCTGTTTCACTCCTGGTGATTTTTCTAATATTTCAGAATATTAGAATTTTTTTTTCAGAATAGGTATTTTCTTTCTGCCCCAAATGACAGGACAACTTGAGTGTGCCTGTCTCCGTATACAGTACGGTACAAAAAGCATCTTTAAATAATGTTGTTTTCCAATAAGGTTTTGTTTTAAAACAGCCTCGGAAATAACACTTCCAAAAGCCATTATAAACTCTAGAAAATATCTCTTCATCATCAACCTTTTCTCTC